CTTATGCTTATAAATTCTGACAGATACATGAGAATTCATATCTGTAGCAGAAGCTAAGTCCAGCTATCATTTTGCTTTTATTTTATAATTACAACGACAAACACAGCTGGAGATGAGGTTGGAATATTCTCTGTTCATGCTCAGACTCTTCATATTCATACCTCTTCTTTCTTCCCACAGCTCCTGGGCAATATGATTGTGATTGTGATGGCCCATCACCTGGGCAAGGATTTCACTCCAGAGGCACAGGCTGCTTTTCAGAAGGTGGTGGCTGGTGTGGCCAATGCCCTGTCTCACAAATACCACTAAGCTACCTTTCCTGCTACCTATCTCATACAAAAGGCCTTTTTCCCCAGAGAACAACTACTAAATATTGGGGAACTTATGAAAGCCTTTGAACATCTGGTTTCTGCCTAATAAAATCATTTTTCATTGCAATGGTGTACATTATTTTTGTGTCTTTTATTCATGAGGGAATGTGGGAAGACAAGGCAATTAAGACAAAAAGAAATGAGAGCTAATTCAGACCTTGTGCTAATACACCTCTCTCTTGTACTTCATGAAAGAAGGGAGACTGTTAATAATTAATGTGGGGACTGGGGATGTGGCTCAAGCGGTAGCACGCTCGCCTGGTATGTGTGCGGCCCCAGTTCAATTCGCAGCACCACATACAAACAAAGATGTTGTGTCCGCGGATAACTAAAAAATAAATATTAAAAAATTCTCTCTCTCTTTCTCTCTCTCCCTCTCTCACTCTCTTTAAAAAAATAATTAACGTGGGAAATTTTTTGCTTTCTATTCCTTAGTCACCACTCATAAAATGATTTCAGTGATTTTTTTTTTTTTTTGTTTAAGGGTTAGGTTTTATTTATTTTTTATTTCTTATTTTCCCCAGCCTTCCTCATGAGTTTCTCTTCTTTCTCTAGTTTCTTCCCCAGGACTTCACAGCCTTAGTCCACCCAGTTCTCCTGCTTATAGATTCCACTCCTCCCCAAGAGTTCTGCCTAATAAAATCATTTTTTGTTGTTGCAATGGTGTATGATATGTTTGTGTCTTTCTTTCATGAGAGAAAGGGGAAAGACAAGGCATTTAAGACATAAAGGGCTTAGTTCAGACCTTGTTCTAATACACCTGTATCTTGGACTCTATGAAAGAAGGGAGACTATTAAGAATGAATGTATGTGGGAAGCTTTCTGGTTTGTATTCCTTACTCACCACTCATAAAAGGATTTAAGTGAAACTTTGGTTCAGGGGTTAGGTTTTTGTTGTTGTTTTTTTAATTACCTATTTTCTTTAGCCTTCCTCATTAGTTTCTCTTCTTTTTTTTTAGAGTGTTTTTTAATCTCTTCACTTTTATTTATTTATTTATTTTTATGTGCTGCTGAGGATTGAACCTAGGACCTCACACAAGTGAGGCAACTGCTCTTCTGCTGAGCCACAACCCCAACCCCAGTTTCTCTTCTTTATTTAGTTTCTTCCCCAGACCTCATAGCCTTAGTCCACCTAGTTCTCCTACTTATAGATTTTACTACTCCTTAAGGGTTTCTTTCATGTTATACTGGACCCATTGCTCCTTTTCTCCTATTGGCTCTATTTGCCTGTATTGTCTCAAAAAAGATCTGTCTGGGGAAGGGTAAATAGAAGGAGGTGGTTTGGCCGCTGTATCTTTGTGAAATTGTTCCCTACCTCTATCATTAGTGGTGACCAAAAATCTGCAATGCTGGTCTCCCTGAAGCCTTCACTGTTCCAGAGCCTGCATTGGAAGGACTAGGCTGTCAATGTGCAATGACTGTTGGGCTCAGGGGGCTTTTTATGGCTTGATATTTATTGTTACCTTACAACCTTTAGGTGAGCCCATGCCAAATACAATTCCTGTTTTTCCTCAAGTTGTTTATCTTTGATATATGAGAAGTTATTAGAGATCTGATTTCTCCCTTAGCATTCCTATAATGGCTTTTCTGCCTCTGTATATATCAATGTTGCTACGAGCAACACATTCTACCTTCATTTCCTTATTTAGTATCCACTTCAGTATATAGTACATTCTAGAAGGATGAGTTTTAAGTGGTCCTTGTCCTCTTCTCCACCTCAATTCTGAATCTAGCTGGCAAGCAGAAAGTAATCCATATAAAAAGTGATAACTAATTGTAGAAGAATTTGTATCAGGTTATACAGATTACAGTATGAATTAAGTTAAAGTATCTTACAAAAATCAACTTAAAATGGATTAAATACTTAAAATTCGACCCCAAAGAGTAAAAGTTCAGAAGAAAACACAGGGTCCTGACAACAAGCTTTTGGATTTGACACCAAAAACATAGGGAACAAAAGCAAAAATACACACGTGAACTGTATGTAACTAAAAAGCTGATGCCCAACATAGAAAATAACAAAATGACAGGCAATCTCTGATATAAAATAAAATATTTGCAAAATGTATATCTGATAAAAAGGTAATATTTATGAAACTCATATTACTCTTTACAAAAAAATACAAAATGGACAGAGGAACCACAGATATTTTTTAAAAGAAGAAAACAAATGGCCAACAGGTACATGAAAACAAGTTCATTATCACTAATCTGAAGGGAAATGCAAATTAAAACCACAAAGAAATACCATCTCTCTTTCATTAAAATGACTACTATCAAAAATACAGAAATAAATGTTGCTGAGTATGTAGATGTATATATAAATTATACACACATGTACACATGTATACATACATATGCTATATATATATGTATGTATATCAGAATTTATGAAAGAATCTGAAATTGACACCCTTGATATGGTTGTTTTGTGGATGATAGATTCCTTAGTTGATGCTCATGGCACATGCAGTGACTCTTCCCAGGAATGGCTCACCAATTGAGTTTTTCTATCAGTTCTGCTAGAGGAAAGATGGTCTGCACAAAACCCAGCTCAGTCTAATCAGTTGCACAAAAAATGACCTGGAAAATTCCCTTGGCTCACATCTAAGTGCCTGTAAAGGCAAACCCGAGAGAAGGAATAGTGTTTCTTATATAAGAAACTAATAACAAAATCTTAATTCATGAAAAAGTGATAAAAAATAATCATCAATTGTTGTCACAGATTTAAGTGTTTCATATTATTGCAAAAGTATTCCTTCCATTTTATCTGTAAATTACTTCTTCTTGATATTTGGGTTGATTTAGTTGAAAACATATATCCTTCCTAGATGAAAATACTGACTTTTAATTTAGCATACTGAAA